GTCAAGGGGTGATGTTGCTCAAGAATTATGTTTTCTGTTTCTTCTTCTTTTACTACCACTACTACTAGTACTAGTACAACTACTACAGTATTGGGGATTGAACTTAGCTAGGGATGCACTACAACTGAACTATGTCCATATCCCTTTTTATATTGAGATTATGTCTCACTAAGTTGCCCAGGCTGACCTTAAACTTGGACCTGAGTATTGTGTGCCACCACACCTGGCTTTTCTGTTTTCTTGATTAGGCACATGTGACCAATTTTAATAGTACTTAACTTTTTCATAATTAATGCCACAATCCCTTCCATTATATTTCATAGTAATTGGTCCTGCTTTGGTCATAGATTGCCTTTTTCATGAACTGATACAGATTATACTGAATCGATGTGTAAAAAGCACAATCTAGGAAGGTATTCTGATTTACACATCACTTTTTTGTAGGTTATGTTACTGGTGCTACTTAGAAGTAGCCAAATATTTGAGTTTGCAGGAACTGGAACTCATTTTAACTTAACTTTTCTGCATCATTGATTTCACATTGCTTCTGAAGAGATAATGCATAACTCTTGTAAGTGTAACTTTGAACTATTTTAGCATTGGAATTTTGTCTCTGATCATTGGGATCTTTGAGTTAATACACCCAAACTCCAAATCACAGTAAAGAACTGCCAGGATTATTGAAAATATCCATTGTGACTTGATATCTCTACAAACCCAATAGAACCCCAGCTCCTTTATTCTGCTAGAACTTTAAAGTTATAGAAAAACTTGAAGATGGTGTTTTCAACATATTCTTGTATTACTTTGATTGGGACCATGGGTAGATTCTTTCTAGTATAAAAGCACATTGTTTGCCCACATCTGAAGAAACAGCAGTTTCACATCCCAAGGAAGGTAGTAATCACTGCACAAAGTTTTCTATTGTGTGTACAAAATAGCATATTCTGGCCTTTTTCTGTTTGAATTACTTCCTTATCCATCATGACTTAGACATTGTTGCCTCTTATGCCTCCCATACCCTCACAAGTCTGATGCTTTTAAGATTTAAGATTTTATTTAAGATTTTATATATTTTTGCCAGTGGATTTGCAATTCCCTTACCTAGGTCCCTAATGACAAACTGTGACCAAAAATACTTATTACTGTCTAGATCGAAGAAGTTTTATCTTGTCTCTAGCAGAGATGGCTGCTGCTTTTGCTTCTTGTTCTTTTATCACTTTCCTCCTCCTCCTCCTCCTCCACATACTTTTCCTGTTCCTCCTCTTTCTTCATCATCCAAAATAACTGGATCTGTTTTGAACTAAGGAGTTTTCAGGCCTCAAGATTTGAGTCCTTCCAAATTTATATGCTTTCTTCATGTTATTTTTTCTGTTTGCAAATCCTAGGGACAACTTAAGAAGCAGGGGAGACTAGTTTGCAAATTAATTCATCCATAGAGAGTAATGTGTTTGAATTTCCACAAGTATGTGTAGATTTTAGGTTCTTCAATTTTATCTTGCTTAGGTTTAGGTCAATACTTTCAGATAAAGATGTAGCAAAATATTAAGTCATAAATAGGCTCATAGAGGAATTTTAGCAGGGAGTTAGTGAATTTTTGGCCTACCTGTGTTAAAGCAGGGGCCAGCATCTTAACAAGTTATTTTTGATGATATGAAATGGTTCCTTTCTAGTCTCATAGCTCTGTCCCCAGCTGCTGGAATACATGGTGTCTAGCACATAATCTTTACCAGTACTTTGTCATTTTGGAAATAGTATCTTCACTTTTTTTCATCAGGTCTCTTTATTGCCATTCTTATATTGTAAATTTCTTACTTTTAATACAACACTTAATTTATTTACTAAGCTGAATTTTTGATTTTTGAAAGGTAATTCATTTGCAGTACATTTATGTATGTAGGTTACCTTTTGCTGGGCAAAGATGTTCTTCCTGCTTTTATACATTAACTGTGTTTCTTTCATACATAAAATGGGTATAAATATTTAAAGCTAGGTTAGATTTGTTTTAACTGTATTGACATAAATGTCATGAAGTATTGTGTGAAACAAAAAAAATTATAAGCAGCAACTCACTGTCTTTGGTAAGGACAAAAGGAAACACAGGTATCAGATTTAGGCCAAGGGTGAGTAAATCTTAGATTTAAGTCTTAACTTGCATGAGGTAAGAGTAGTATATATAATAAGTTAATACAAGTCATCTCAGATAATTGCATATTACTCTACTTCATATAGGGTAGGTTTAGCAAGATTGGTTGGTAGACTTAAATTGAATGCATTCTTTGGGGTGCTGAATAAATTACTTTTGTCTCTTCCTTTCAGAAGGGCAATTCATTTCTTTTAGGCAGTGGGTAAACAGAAGGTAAACACGGTCTTTGTAGAGAAGTTTCTGAGAAGCTCAAGTTCCCCACTCTAGTTTGCAAAAAATAAATATTGAAATTATCTCTCTCTCTCTCCTCTCTCTCTCTCTCTCTCTCTCTCTCTCTCTCTCTCTCTCTCTCTCTCTTTAAAAAAAAAGAAGAAATGATGTGAGTGGACTTTTAATGGGAGTGCAATACTAATCTAAACTTAAAAAGTTTCATTCCCCATCATTGAAAGGGGGCAGAAAATGTCCCTATTAAAGATAAATTGGCAAATTGTGTCCAGGTACACAGATGGGGTCTTATTTTTAATTGGCTTTTAAGTAGAATAAATGAAGCCATGGACCATGCCCAGAGTTGTGTTCAAATCTGGACTCAGCTTGGATTAGATCCTTGACCTTTAACTGCTTCCAATCCCTTTTCTCCAAATGTTGAAATGTACAACCAATTTAGCCATTTTCCTTGAGCTCCCTTCCCTGGGCCCATTCACCAATGAGTGTTTGGTGAATGAGGAAGAGCAATACCTTGCTCTGCCATGCCATTTACTCTTTAGAATCAAGAATCAAACAGAAAACACTCCAAAAATAGAAATGCAAGTGTACAAAGCTGGCTTGTTTTATAAATACTGATTTCAAGCAAGAACTTGAATTGCAGGCTTTTTACCCCTGTAAAAAAGCAGTCAGAGCATATGTTTCCAACTTGTTTTTGGTGTACAAGTCTGTGCCTGGGTATGCGCGTGCGTGCGCGCACACACACACACACACACACACACACTCTTTTCATTTTTGCAATCTCCCTTAATCTCCTCAATTCCTCCAACTCTGCCTCAAGGTTTTCTATAAATGCTAGGCTTCTGATATTTTGATGCATTGTGCAAAATGATGAAAATTTTCATTAGGTCATCCTAATGCAAGAATGTAACATAAATACAAATGGGTATGGGGAACTAGGGTTATAGACTAGACATTGAAATGAACAGTTTTCCAATGAAGTGACAGATATTAACCATGGGGCCATGCTTTGGTGAAACAGTCTCTGTAGATAGCCCCTCTGAGAGTTAAATAACTAGTAAACCCTTAATGAACCTAATCTGTAAAGAGAAAAATATTCACCCCAATAGCTGTGAATTCTAGCTGCTGAGATCTTCAATAATAGGGTTAAAAGTAATCCATGAAGTATTTATATTTGATTTTAATTAACATATAATGAATTGTATGTATTTGTGTGGTACAGTGTAATATTTCAATACATGTATACAGTCTGTACTAATCAGGGTAATTAACATTTCCACCTCCTTACCTTTTCTTCATGTTTGGGGCCTTCAAGCTCCTCTCCACTAGTTTTTCTCAAATATAGTATACAATAGATTATTGTATATTATTGTCACCCTACTATGCTGTAGAACACTAAAACTTATTCCTTCTTGGGCTTGTGGCTCAGTGGTAGAGTGCTTACCTAGAATGTACAAGGCACTGGGTTCAATCCTCAGCACCACATAAAAATAAATAAAATAAAGGTATTGTGTCTAATTATCACTACTGCTATAGTGACAGCTGGATCATATGGTAGACCTATTTTTATAGAAACTTTTATACTATTTTACATAATGGCTATACTAATTCACATTCCCATCATCAGTTTATATTTCTTTAGTTTAAGGAATATGTCCCTAATAAAACTGTACATAACAAAGATAAAGAGGGATGGATATTTGGATCTAATTAAATGATGCCCAACATATGAGGGATGTGTGCATAGGCCATTTGAAGCATATGGGTTATCTGGAAGGAAGGGATCTCAGTGTAGTTAATCTGATGGAAAATCCAATCATAGAAATGGTATAGTGAAGAGATTGGCTGTTAGGAATAGTGGTCAAGAAGAAATGATGTCTGGGCTGGGGATATGGCTCAAGTGTTAGCAAGCTCGCCTGGCATGCGTGCAGCCTGGGTTTGATCCTCAGCACCACATACAAAAAAACAAAGATGTTGTGTCTGCTGAAAAACCAAAAAATAAATATTGAAATTCTCTCTCTCTCTCTCTCTCTCTCTCTCTCTCTCTCTCTCTCTCTCTTTAAAAAAAAAAGAAATGATGTGAGTGGACTTTTAATGGGAGTGTGATACTAATCTAAAATTAAGCACTATGTGTCAGTGATGGGTAGGATACAAAGGTGGATGGCACCTCTGTTGCTCAAAAATATGGCCAAGTCTTTTTAGATATACTGCCTGTTGGATTTCCTGCCCTAACTGTACTCCCTCTTCTGCTGAATCCATTTTCAAACACAGATGATTTTTAATAGGAGGTATTGATGAAATTGCTGACTCTCAGCATCTTGACACTCAGGATAAACTTTTTTTAAAATATATTTTTTCATCATAATGTGTTTCCCTTTAGGTTTTTTTTTTTTTTTGTTTTGTCAGCAGTGGGAACAGCAACAACAATAAAAACAGAGGAGTATATAGGGGGAGATCTATGGCCTTTTAAAAATACAATTCTTCACACTTGTCCCAAAAGGCAATAAAGGACTATCTAAAAGTACCATTTCCCAGAAGGGCCTGTGGATGCCTAAGAAACCAGAACACTGGGGAGTAACACTGATTCCTGGGGAAAAGCTGATGAAATTGACATTTTCTTTTCTCCAAACAGATCAGAATGAAGGATTTCATTGCAGAGAAGAATGCCGGATTCTTGGCCACTCTGACAGGTGCTGGATGCCCCGGAATCCCATGCCCACTCGTTCCAAGTCTCCTGAGCATGTGAGGAACATCATCGCGCTCTCCATTGAAGCTACTGCTGCTGATGTTGAAGCTTACGACGACTGTGGCCCCACCAAGCGGACTTTTGCAACCTTTGGGAAAGATGTCAGCGATCACCCAGCTGAGGAGAGGTCCACCCTGAAAGGGAAGAGGACTGTCGATGTAACCGTCTGTAGTCCCAAGGTCAACGGCGCTATCCGGGAGGCAGGCAACGGCTGTGAGGCGATTAGCCCTGTCACCTCCCCCCTCCACCTCAAGAGCCCTCTGCCCACGAAGCCTTCCATGTCTTACACCGTTGCCCTGGCTCCCCCGGCCCGTGATCTGGAGCAATATGTCAATAATGTCAACAATGGCCCTTCCCGTCCCTCTGAAGCTGAGCCCCGTGGAGCTGACAGCGAGAAAGTCATGCATGAGGTCAACCCCATTCTGAAGGAGGGTCGCGACAAAGAGTCCCCTGGTGTGAAGCGTCTGAAGGATATCGTTCTCTAAACCAGTCTCTGGGAAGAAGAGAAAGAAACTACGCTGGCTAGCGAAGATGTAGGAGCTACTCATTTTAATTGCTCACCAATGGTTGGTTCTTGAGTGGCTATATTTCAGAGCTTTCCCTAAATGTATTGTTTATAAATGACTATCATTCTGTGACAATCCCTCTCGTTTCAACAGGCAGCAGGGGTGTTCAGTTAGAGCAAATTAGCTTTGGCTTGAGTTGTTCATGGGGCCTTGATGTTGGGGAAACAGACAAATTCAGTTGTGAAAAGTATTATGTATTAAGTGTTTGAATTTATATATTTTTCTATGTCAAAATTATAATATAAATTACCATTGTTTGTGGAGGATTACATTTAAAAAAAAGCAAAAGAAAAAAAAAAGCTCTGGACACCTTTAATAAGCTCGCCACTGTTTTTTGTAGTGTAGACAAGTTAATGGTCATTTATTGTGTACTATTCATTGATTCAGTGATGTGAAATCGAGCCCCAAAAGGTTGTTTCTGAAGCTCGAGTACTTTCTAATGCCGCTACTTTGCTGTGGACACCCCTGCTTTAAGAACCCTTTTGCTAGCTGTGCTATTGTTGTATTTGATATTGCAAATTGCTATGTGTGTGGTGATGGCAAAAAGGCTTTTAAAGGTTGGTGTTTCTTTTTCTTAAAAAAATAATGAAAATACAGATAAAAACAAAGAGCAAACAACTGAGACAGCAAATGAATGAGCAACACCACACATATAGATTGAGTACTTGGAGGATACTCACATTTTTTAACCCATGTAGTAGTGATTGCTCACCACCTTGCAATGTATTTTTCCTGCCTTTCAGTCTTCTGCCCAGGTCCATGATAGATCATCACAGAAAGTCATTTTTGGATATGCTGCTATCTAATTTGCAGTTGTCAGAAATACTGTGCTTAAACTTTCATGAGATCCATTTTTCTAATTTTCAGACCCTGAACTGGAAAGTTGCTCCTGAAGTTATCGGGTTCCAGGCTTAGAAATTCCCTGTCTCCAATCATCTAAAACTCAAAATGACTAAATCTATTTTGAGATCTAAATTAGTGTCTCTTTAGACACACACTTCCTGATTCAGTGTTTCCCAATCATGATTGGAATTAGACTGTAAAGCACGTCATGGGCTTGAATCGAGAACTCCATGTTGCTCTGTATCTTAGGTTTATAAATAGGGATAGAGTAAGCAGTACAAAATGTACATTTAGGAAAAGACAGGTAATAGGCAACAGCATCACTAATCCAATTACTGTGCCTTCTAAATGGAGACACTTGGACACTTGAACTCGTCTTTTTATGACTAATACTTTTTTGATTAAAAATGTGAACAAGAAACTATTAAAACAAAAATCTTTTAGATTTAGCTAACTCTTTTTGCTGTAGGCTAGGAATACACCTTTTTTTTTATTAACAGACTGCACATTTCTTCTTTGTTGTTGTTTTAACATTCCTCTAAATCCACAATTTATAATTTGCCTATTAATATTCACTAGCCAACATAGTATTCTTGCAGCCTAAGAGTTCATTCTTTAGAAATAAAACTCAAGAAATATGTTACCTTCTGCCTTGGTCTTAAAAGAGTTGTTTCTTGAGAAACAAGTTTTGTGGATCTGTTCTGTTTCATTTTTTTGAAATTCAGGAATACCCAGAAAGAAGCCCTAGGTTAGAGTACTAGAATGCAAAAGATAATTTATTTTCTTAAGTTTAGGTAAATAAGGTCATGTGTTTTAAATGTTTTAGTTATTTTTGCCTGAGTTTCTAGCTTTGTAAATTACTAGGAATATTTTCTTTTATGGGAGGGGGAAGGGTTTTGAGGGAGGAGGGTGGGTAAAGCAGTGGGGGTAGGGTTAGGTAGGGGAGAACATTTCTGAGGAAGAACCTATAATGAGCTACAAATTCATTCTTATTTCTTATTCAGTGCTGAATACTACCTCATGCAAAATATTGGTGTGGCTGCAAATTTCCCTCTAAACTGACACAATTAGAGATCAATTTACCATAACATCTTTATTTTGCCTCATTTCATTCTCTTTCATATAATTTCTCCTCTTATGATTTATTTCATTTTGTTAGATTCTGAATTAGGTATTTATTTCTTTTTGCAAGTGACTATTTGATTAACATATTAAAAATGAAAGTTTCCTCTTTAAGTTATGATGGCTGCCTGTAGAATTTAGACTGTTCCTTACCCTGACCCATCCTGATATTATGTTGTTAGCTACCACCTCAAGGTCACTTTGACGTCAGATTTGACAGTTTTCTACAGGTGTGCAAGACAATGGAATGTTATATGGCTGCTGAATCAGAGATTCCAATGACTGCCATGCCTCTTGCCAACCAAGTTTAAAATGGTTAGAGTAGCAGTGGCGTTGACACTGCTGTTTTTATTGAGTTTTCTTTTGCCTTCATTTCTCCCCAGAATTCAGTTTTAAGCTGTGAACCTATCCCTTTTCCCTATCCAAATACTTTCTTCTCAGTGGGCAGTCAGAGTTTTTTATTTTTAATTTTTTTTGGCTTCCATAGCCTTTACTGAGCATGTTCACAGGATTCCTCTCATTAAGAAAATATCTTTTTTTCCCCTACAATTTTCTGATGTATGCGTCCTCCCAGAAGTGCAAGTGCATCCTAGGAGGGCTTTGTAAGCTGATTTTACAGGCAGGCTGTGCCTGCAAATAGAAAATTTGTGCAAGAATCCTAAATCTCTCTTTGGCCAATGGGTTTTTTTCCTCCTTTTAAACATGCCTGAAGAAAAGTTACAAGGGCCAGAAGGCCAAATATTCTTTATTTTCCTTCCGAAAACATGTTACACACTTAAATATGAGGGGACAATTTTGGTTCCTAAATCCTAAAGAGCTCTATTCCATTTATCCTGAATCCCTTGGTTTTGGAGTCTGACATACTTTTCAAACAACAGTTTTCAGAAATTCCCTGGGAAAGAAAACTTCTTCATGCAATCTAAGGGATTTAGTTTGCATTGATTGATTGCTTTCCTACAAGTAGGGGGATATACTATATAACAAGGGATAGGAAAAGAGAGCCATGATGGAATGTAGTATCTTTTTTTTTTTCTTTCCCTAAGGTGACTAGTCTATGAACCTGTTCAGAATGGCACTTAGCATTTCTTTGATCCTCTTAAAGCCAGCACATTAAATTATGGTCCATCTTATTACCAAAATAGATAATGGGCAAAGGGATCCTGCAGTTCCTGCAGAGCAGTGGTTCTCAAAATGTATTCCCTTGAACATCAGTAACAACATCACTAGGGATCTTCTTTCCCTTCCTAGACAAACTGAACCAGAAACTATGGGTATAGTGCCCAGAAATCCATATGAATCAGATTCCACTGAAGGTTGAGGGCTTTTTAAACCACAGGTTTATGGGCCCCTGCCCTCACAGTTTCTGATTCAGTTGGTCTGGGATGGGGCCTCCCTCTTTGCATATCTAAAAATTCTCAGATGATGCTGATGGGACTGCACTTTGTGTATCACTGCTCTAGAGAAAACATGTTTAATAGGGCTAATTTCACCTAAGGTACCCATTCAAACAAATTCCTTGAGATGGTGATGCACTAGTCACTAATGAGAAATGTTAAAGGAAATACAACTCAGAACTCTGAAAACTGGACAGAACCACCCAGAGTATTTTCCCAATGTGTCACTTCACATATGACTGACTGATTGTATGGGGGAATTTAGATGACTTTTTTCTATATACCTATCATATCATTAAAAAGAAAACAAAGTGATCCACTTGAAGCAGCAAAGATAAAGGGCTGTTCGGGCAGAGGCAGGGGTAAAGGGAGATAGCTCAGCTGGGCATCCAAGGTGGTAAAAATTATTATTGTACATAATAGCAGTTCTGGCTGGAATCACAAGGACCACTTTATGGGGATCATTTTGATGTTGAGTGCTCCCCAAGGCATTCTGACAAGTCTGGTCCACTTGGCTCTTTACCCAGGGTAATAAGACCCTTACTGACTTTGAAAAACTGGCATAAATGAGCTTAAGAAGTCCATTGTATACAGTCCTAGTGTTTGCCTTCTTGGAAAAATTACATTTAAGGATGTCATTTCATGAGTCAAATTGTATCTGCTGACACTGAAGTGTATTGAGATGTTGTTCTTTAGTTTAAGTATGTAACAAAGTAATATTCAAAGGGGATGTGTGGGGGTGGGGCTGGGACTGGGTGGCTTTATATTGATAATGAAATATTCCAGAGCAAAACACATTGTCCTAATGAAGTTGTTGCAGCTCTCTTTGTTTTCTTGTGAGGCTGAAATTGGCCTGTGGGTCACTTGTTGTGCAAAAGTGAATTATTTTCAAATAGGAATCATATTGCTTTTGTAAAACAAAGAAAATCAACCACCTTGTCTGAAATAGATATTGTGAGGCGCTCTTGGTGAAGAAAAACCCACAAACACCTGATCTTGATTGGAAAGCATTGTAGGTCATTAGGGAAAATTGATGATACTGACTGTTGCTCCAGCTGTGTTGGCAATTAAAGATGACCTTGTTACTAACCTAAAGTCGCTGTCAACCTTAGTTAGCAAGGAAACCAGCTAACACCATTACAGCACTGGTTAAGTAGACTTTACTGGCACTGGCTGGCGTTCAGCTGAGGAAGGCTAGGATACAGACTTTAATGACCAAGAGCCAGACTAGCTCAAGCTAGAAATTCAGCAACAAATACCTCCTCATGCTATTTGAATGCTAAGGTATTAGTTGCAAAAGGCTTACGCCTTCGCTCCTCTAGTGAGGGGAATGAGCCTGATGACACTATTACTGTTTACCTGTCAAACCAGGGTGGAAGTTTAGAGGGATGCAAGTACAGTATGTCTCATTAAGCAGTCTCTGTTGCTGATTATATGAAGATGAAATTGTTGTATATGCTGATCTGTATGTTATGTACATTTTCACAGTGATTGAATCATTGTAAAAAGAAAAAAGACAAAAAAGAATCAACACTGTCTATTTTATGAAGATGATAAAGCAGCTTTATTAAATTATTACAGTTATGTTTTAAATGGTGTTATCTGCCACATTGTTTCCTTTTATCTGGTGGTTCTCTGTTTCCCCCTTAAATGTGTTTTCTCTGCTTCAAAAATTAAATGCATTTTAGTATTAAAGGCTATTATGGAAAAATTATTCAGTGTTTGATGAAATGTGTCTGGAGAGTGTTCCTTGGTTCTGGGTGGGGATGATTGAGACCCAGGAGGTAATGAATCCTTGGAATCATTGATGTTCAGGCCCAAAAGGTTCCTTTTGTCTTTGCCATTTTACCCTGACTCTCCAATTTAGAGGGGCCTTTTCCTCCACTCAGACTCCAGTTATTCCTGTGCACCTCTCTTTCTTGCCACTCCTGTCAGTCAATACCTTTGCCAGAGGAGGGGGGTCCATTCACATCCAGAATGGTGAAGATTTTCCTGGGTGGTACTTTAAACAAGAGCACTAAAACCATTCTTTAAAAT